TTACCTATCTTAATATGCGCAAATTTAAACAAAAATTTTTTAGAGTGTAGGAATCTAAGGTGTCATTTATGGTTCTCTTGTTTGGGTTTGTGTTTTTATACCATTTTGTGGTTTTTTGGAAAACGTCTATATTGTTATCGGTTAGAGCCGAGCGAATGAATTTGTTTATGTCTGTTTTGTTATAATTAGGTGCGCAGATAAGGGGGGATGTAGTTGCTCGTTTTGCGGATTGATCTGCGAACTCATTAGCTTTAATGCCTACATGGCTAGGTATCCTAATGAGTTTTGTTTACTTGAGATTGTTATTGAGTGCGTTTCTGATTGTTACAGCATAATGTGTTGAGTTAGATATATTTAAAATGGCTTGAAGCGCCGAAAGAGAGTCACTGCAGATACAAAATTTTCCTTTTCTCTGGCGAACTAATAGGGTAGCTTCGTGAATTGCTATTATTTCTGCTGAAAACACTGTTGAGTAATGAGGGTCTAGAGACATTTTTAAGATATCAGTTTTGGTTGTAATAGCGTAACCTGTTGTGTGCTGGTGTTGCGAACCGTCTGTGTAGATAAAACTGTGTGTGGGGAATTCATTCTTAAGTGCTGTGAATTCTTTAATGTATATTGTGGGTGGTGTATCGTCTACGTTGAATTTGGTCAAACTGAAATCGATTGTGCAAGCCCTATGTACCCATGGGGGGTGATGGCTTTTGGATTGTTTTAATGGTAAAAATGGTATTTGCAGCTGCATGCAAGAGTTGATAGTTCTATGGATTGTGGAGTAGCACTTTTTTGGTACTTGCTTCGAGGTGATTTTAATTATTTCTTTGGTCATGGTATCAGATGAGTTTAAGAGGATGTTGAAAGTTTTGGAAATAGCAATGTTGTATTTGGTTTCTATAGAAGTTATCCCTGCTTCAAAAAGAAGGTTGTATATTTGAGATGTGGGTAACGCGCCGAGGGATATGCGTATTGCTGAGGTCAAAATGGTTTTCAGTTTATTATAAGTGTATTAGCTGCGCTGCCATATAAAAATTGTCCGTAGTCTATTTTGGAGAGAATAATTGCTTTGGGAACTTTTATTATAGTTTGAGTTTGGCATTTTTTTATTAGAAAGGCATTTAATTACATTCAGAGATTTAAGGAGGCGGGAGGATAAATTATTAATGTGGTGGTGCCATGAGTAATTAGAGTTTATGTAGATACCTAGTATTTTTAGATTATCGACTAGAGGAAAATTGTGGGACTTAGTGGTTAATGTACATTTGCATTTTTTCATTCTGCATATGTGCAGCTGTTTACATTTTGTTGGAGATATGAGCGCTTCTGAATACTCACACCACTTTTGTATTTCTGTGAAGAGTTCGTCTAATTCGAAATTTGTGTTTTTTTTCTTATTGAGGTCGATAAATAAGTTGTAATCATCGGCATATGCGGAGAATTTGATCGTTTTGAAAGCTGGTTGAAGGCGATAAGGAAGAGTATGACGAAGATAGGGGAACCTTGAGGGATGCCGTTGGATAAAGGGTAAGACGAGTAGTTATTTGAACCTATGTGGACCTTCATCTTTCTTTTCGACATGAAATTAATTATATAGTTTATATTTTTTGGACCTAGTTTCCACTGGGTTAACTGGTTGACAATACTACGCACAAAATAGGTGATTTTGTCAAACGCCTTGCAAAGTGTAGTGAGATCACAGATATGTGTTTTTTTGATTGGAGAGACTTTGTTATCAGATAGTCGACATAGTGTAGACTATCTGTAACAGATTTGCCTTTCCTGAAGCCAATTTGATTGCTATTGAGCAGTTTGTTACTGGTAACAAACCACCATAGCCGGTTTGATATTATTTTGTCCATTAGTTTAGCATAGCAAGGGTTTAAAGAGATAGGTCTGTAGGATTGGATGCACGTTTTGTCTGAGTTTGGCTTGAGTATTGGTAGTATTATGCTGTTTTTGTAAGATTGGGGGATGTAATTGTTAAGTATGTTATTGAAGTGTTGAATAACACGGTATTTTAAGGTAATAGGAGTGTTTTTTATCATAGGATAACTTATTCTGTCTTCACAAGGAGTTTTACCCCTGAGTCGGTTTAGGGCAGCAAGAAATTCGGCGAGTTTGATGCCGTTTTCCAAGGATGAGGCCTTTGGGTGAAGGGTGTAATTTGTTTGGGGTATTGAGATTTTCGCTTTTTCGGTGCAAAATGTAGGAGAAAAGTTTGAGTCTGATGATTCTTCAGACCAATGTTTTGCGAAATGCTCATCTATTGTGGGGATGTTGGTCTCTGATGTACCATTTACTTGTAAGCAGTGAATAATTTTGAGGGGTTGGAGACCGCAATAGCTCCGTATATTTTGCCATACTTTGCTCAGCGGAGTTCCGGGACCTATTGTAGATGTAAACTCGAACGTACTTAGTCTCTTTGACAGCCTGAGCTGGCGGCGGAATTTCTCATTGGCTTTTTTGTAGTTGAACATGTTTTAGTGGTGATATTGCGTTTAGATGTGTGCCAACATCTAAGTTTGATTGTGCGGAGAGTATCCAACTATTTATTCCATCATGGGACCTTATAATTATTTGTGAATGGTTGAATGAGAGGGATGGATTTATGTGCGCTTTTGAGAATTATTTTGTTCAGATTAGCGGCTTCTTTATTTATGTTATTACTGTGAGGAATGTTGGTGTTGTAGAACTCGCAGTACTCTTCAAATGCTCGCCAGTTTGCCTCCTTAATTTTAAATTTGGGTGTAGTTTTAGTTTTGGGTGCTGGATTAGATTTAATTAATGATATTAAAATTGGGTTGCGATCACTGCCGTACAAGTCGGCTTCGATGGACCATGATGCATTTAGATGTATGGACGGGGAGCTAAACGGGGAGTGAATGTGTGGTGGGTGGTATAGTGTGTTGGTGAGCCGTTGTTGAGTAGGATGCAGTGGTTTTGCTGAATGAATTTTTGAAGTGTACTGCCTCTAGCGTTGTTTTTTGGGGACCCCCAGCTGTTATGCCAGCTGTTGAAGTCACCAACAATGAGCGATGGGGCGCTCTAATGGTTAAGGACGGAATGAAGGTTCTGATAGGAAAATTTTTGTTTGGGGGGATGTATGCGTTTATAATGTTAAACCTAATTTTGGAGTATATGACTGCGCCGATTGCTGCAAAATCATTGGAGAGTGGTATTCGACTGAACTGTATTGCTTTGTGTATTAGAAGTGCTACACCATTAGAGGAGTTGGAGAAATTTGTGGAAAGTAGAATATAGTTGTTTGGAATAGGAATATTAGTGCTGGTGGATAGGTGGGTTTCTTGGATAGCTATGATAGTTGGATTGTCTTTCTTAATAAGTAGAAGGAGTTCACAATAATTGTTGAAAAACCGTTTCATGCTCCATTGGATGATTGAGATTGTCATCAGTAGTTGGAGAAGTTTTGAGGGTCACAGTACATTTGGAGGAAATGTGCATGAGCATTATCGAGTGGTTTTGGCTTTTTTGTACTGTTTTTAGTTATGGACTTCAGTTGAGCTTTTTGTCTGTTTGAAATGTTTTTAGGATATATAAGCGTTTTGCTGCCCGTGAGGTTTTCGCCTGGGCGTTCTATGGCTGAAGCGGTCTCGCAAGCGGTGCTAGGGGAATCGCTGTCATCGTGCAAAATGTCGACCTGTGTATTTTCATCATGTATTATGTCGCCAGGCGTGATGTCGTGATTCTTCTCGGTGCTATTGGTACCAAAGCATTGTCCTCATTAGGGGAATTGTTTTGGCTGGTGCTAAAGTTACTTCGTTGGAGTTTTAATACATTTGAGCAAGGTGTTGA